AGCAATGGCGGAGCTCTTATCCACTCATTCCGTAAGTGGCGCGATCATTTCACTATGGACGCGTGGTCTCATTTTGGAGGAGGATCTCACGATAAGGTTAGAGGTCGAAGAAGGGAAAACACTCAGTCTGAAAGCAGGCGGGCTCCGTAAGGGTGTGGCACAATGCGTGCTTTGCGGCGAAGGGTATGCCCCAGCGGCCTAGCCTGCCTGCTCATCCTCTCGCCGTCTGACTCTTCGCAGAGAGAGCATTAGCGTTGAAGAGGGCAGCTTCGAAGGGAGTCGCATGTATGCGGAAGTCAACGGGCTAGGAGACGGTTCCATTCCTTCATTTCTCCTGCATCATTCTTCTTTCACCACTGACCACCTCGACCTCATTGCGCCATACTTCCGTCGTAAACTCCATCCTTAAGGTACAGACCAAGTAACAGATACATCGTAAGAAGGCGCACATACGAATGCTGCAAAACAGAGCGAATAATGAAATTGTTCAAGTAATGTGAATGTAAGAAATGCGCGCAATAATTAGGGTATACTTCTCAGCCACCCTGTACATTCGATCATTCTGAGAAATAAATACTGTATTTTTGGATTCAGTCCCAAAATTTGCAATATTTAGAGAAACAATGAATATTTTTGTTGCGGGACTACAATACAAGCATCCTTACGCAGAAAGAATATTTGGAGAGAAAACACCCTAAAGAATTAAAAATTGTATCACTTCCGGGACTCTAAAAATCATGAGCGCCTTCGAGTGCCGCCAAGGTGAACAGCATATTCTGCGACTATCTAGGTAGGTGTGGTGTCGAGCACGAATATGTATGAAAGTAGAGGTGCGAAGTAGACCGCCAGCGGAGAATCAAAGGAAAAGAAAAAGCCGTATATTAATGAAAAATGAGAGCCTTTGTTTTGAGTAGAGCACAAGTTAAAAGCACGAGAGGCGACAGTCTCAGAGATAGCGGGCACCGAAGCGAGAATGCAAAAGAGCCTAAGGGATTGCCGAGACGCAGACACCAACGCTTTCGCCACGGTGGGCAGTATAGGTCCTTCAAAGGAGCGGCGAGATGCTAGACGCTACCTGTGCTGTTGCGAGCTCAGCCACCTCATTTACGAGAGGAGCCTGTTTTTGAAGTTTGAGGCACTAATATGAGCATTTATGTACCCCAGGGTGAATATCGCTTGAGGATTCCTCAACGGCACGTCGAGGATTCTCTGCCCGATCAGACACGATCTCTCGCGCGGACATTCACACTCGCCATGCGCGTGCCGTCTGTGCTCTCCGCGCGGATGTTCACTCTCGGCACTACTCTCGCATGGTAGAGAGCTATGGTCGAGGAAATCCTCGACCGTTATTCACCCTGTGTACCTCTGTTCTAGGGCCACTATAAGAAGGTTCTTTGTGAAGTACTAATGACAGGTGTGTAGGAACTGGATCGCATTTAGAAATATGCATTCGTAGGCTAAGACCTTCGTTATGTGGGGAGAAGTGTCACAATGGCTGCCATTCACAAACATAGTGAGACAAAATAGAATTTTAAAAACCTGCACAATTTTGAACCACAAGTGCGTGCGTGGCGCATCGTAGAGCGGAAGTTGCTGTCGGTTCCACTAGTGGAAAAAACGAAGAAAGCAGACTGCACGAGCTTACGGTAGAGCCACGGGGGCCGGCAAGAGAGGGAAGACCTCATAAAAGCAACAGAGCAAAAAGACGATAGAGGCACAGCCAACAACAGCTATTACGCTCAGTCTGAAATGAAAAGAACTAGACCAGTTGTCAATCCTGTTTGCAGCTTATGAGCACGTAGCATCTTTCCACGCACGCTCGAGCTAAGAAACCGTCAGATTCCCTGCGTTTGCAGACATTCCTTAATTTCCGGAGGGGGCTCCTCTCTTTAACTGCAGCGGACTCTGCGACTGCACGGGACTAACGCTAAGCTCCTCTCTTCAACTGTTACTCGTGAATTGCTTCTCTTTACCCGAAAACATGTGGAAGTAGCATTTAGTCGACCTATTCTACTACTGTACCTCCAACAGTAACTGTACTTGGTAGGTGAGTTCGGGAAAAGTTACATTTATTCCACTTTAGAGGCTCCGATCATTCTACGACGCAGTAGCGCTTTGGGGACTAGAAACCGGATTTTCAAATAGATGCTCGATGCGAGAACATTTGGCAATCGATATGTATTGAATTTTTTCCAGGCAACTGCAGTCAACTCAGGGCCAACGATAACCCTCTCAAATGGCCACAAAATGCCACAAGTTGGACTTGGGACATGGCAGGTGAGTGAGTGAGTAGTTCACTGGACTCACCATGGGGCATTTCTTGCAAAAGCCATAGTGAAACCGTAACTGTGAATACGTAAAGTTTCTCCTGTATGTTTTGATAAACCCTCATGGATTTTTTTGCATAAATACCAGATAGAAAGCAGTCTTAGATGGTCAAAAGAATAAAGCAGGATAATGATAAAGGATGAAGGTACGGTAACATAATAGCGAAAGATACCAAGGGAAGATAAAGATAAAAGAAGAAAGCGAATTCTTTCAGCGATGCGCTACGTATTTCTTTCCCATCGAGGTTGTACGTGCGGCTTGGCTTACTCTATAATGTGGGGCTAGTCAGTATACAACCCGATCTTTTGTTCTGTCTTTTTAACAAGTTTGGTGTCCATCCAGAGGGACGGGAGCCACGGTGCTTTAGGCAAGACTCTGGCCGGATTTGATCCAAATGTGGATGTAAAGTGAGGCCATTTTCTCTTACACCACCGTCTTTAGCAAGTTCAAAGTTCGGCTGGACAAAGGTATGAAATTCGTATTTTCCATTACACCCTCTATTTCAGTCCTCTCCCGCTGAAGTCAAAGCTGCAGTAAAAGCTGCTATCGCGGCTGGCTATCGTCTGATCGACACTGCTGCAGTCTATGAAAACGAAGACGCTGTTGGTGAGGCAGTAAATGAGATGATCGACGAAGGCAAAGTCTCTCGTCCTGATCTTTTCATCACCTACAAAGGTAAAGATTCTCGCAACCAGATAGTTATAAGTACAGTGCATTACGGGCAGGTCACACTTCCTCAAATACCATTTTCATTCGATCAGTTGTCTTTAGAGCAATTGATACATCTCATTTTAGGTATGGATCACCCATGAGCATCCGGACGACACCGAAGGAGCAATTCGCGAATCTCTTCGGAAACTCAATATGAACTACGTCGATCTTTACCTGTCTCATATGCCAACTTGCTTCAATGTGAGTGTCTAATATTACCAATGGTAACCGAATGTATAGGCCTCTTAACATCCTGAGGAAGACTCCTCAAAAGTTCGGGTCACTACCGAATTGATGTATTATGTCGCTCGAAAATAGGACAGGAGGTGTAAAATGAACCGTCAGTGAGGAAGTGAACAAACCTTGAGAAGCTCCTTCTCATATGGCATCCACCGTGGTACGACGGAGAGACACAGTGTAAAGAGGAGAGGGAATACGCGAGAGATCACTTTGTACGAAAGAGCGCAGACACCGCCACCACTACCTCTGTGCTCACGCA